TCACAGATCAACGTTGATTTAAACATTTCATTGAAATCTAAACTAACTCTGTGCATCGCAGTAACTTGTCCCACTTTGTCCCACTTTGTCCGACATTGTCCCACTTTGTCCCACATTGCTCCACTTTGTCCCACTTTGTCCCACATTGTCCCACATTGTCCCACATTGCCCCACTTTGTCCCACATTGCTCCACTTTGTCCCACTTTGTCCCACATTCTCCCACTTTGTCCCACATTGCTCCACTTTGTCCCACTTTGTCCCACATTGTCCCACATTGTCCCACTTTGTCCCACATTGCTCCACTTTGTCCCACTTTGTCCCACTTTGTCCCACATTGCCCCACTTTGCCCTTTGTCCCACATTGTCCCACTTTGTCCCACATTGCCCCACATTGTCCCACATTGTCCCACTTTGTCCCACATTGTCCCACATTGCCCCACTTTGTCCCACATTGTCCCACATTGCCCCACTTTGTCCCACATTGTCCCACATTGTCCCACATTGCCCCACTTTGTCCCACATTGTCCCACATTGTCCCACATTGCCCCACTTTGTCCCACATTGTCCCACTTTGTCCCACATTGTCCCACATTGCCCCACTTTGTCCCACATTGCCCCACTTTGTCCCACATTGTCCCACATTGCCCCACTTTGTCCCACATTGCCCCACTTTGTCCCACATTGCCCCACTTTGTCCCACTTTGCCCCACTTTGTCCCACATTGCCCCACTTTGTCCCACTTTGTCCCACATTGCCTCACTTTGTCCCACATTGTCCCACATTGCCCCACATTGTCCCACTTTGTCCCACATTGTCCCACATTGTCCCACATTGCCCCACTTTGCCCTTTGTCCCACATTGTCCCACTTTGTCCCACATTGTCCCACTTTGTCCCACATTGCCCCACTTTGTCCCACATTGCCCCACTTTGTCCCACATTGTCCCACATTGCCCCACTTTGTCCCACATTGCCCCACTTTGTCCCACATTGCCCCACTTTGTCCCACATTGCCCCACTTTGTCCCACATTGTCCCACATTTCCCCACTTTGTCCCACTTTGCCCTTTGTCCCACATTGTCCCACATTGTCCCACTTTGTCCCACATTGCCCCACATTGTCCCACTTTGTCCCACATTGTCCCACATTGCCCCCACTTTGTCCCACATTGCCCCACTTTGTCCCACATTGCCCCACTTTGTTCCACATTGTCCCACATTGCCCCACTTTGTCCCACATTGTCCCACTTTGTCCCACATTGCCCCACTTTGTCCCACATTGCCCCACTTTGTCCCACATTGCCCCACATTGTCCCACATTGCCCCACTTTGTCCCACATTGTCCCACTTTGTCCCACATTGCCCCACTTTGTCCCACATTGCCCCTACATTGTCCCACATTGCCCCACTTTGTCCCACATTTCCCCACATTGTCCCACATTGCCCCACATTGCCCCACATTGCCCCACTTTGTCCCACATTGTCCCACATTGCCCCACTTTGTCCCACATTGCCCTCACATTGCCCCACTTTGTCCCACATTGTCCCACATTGCCCCACTTTGTCCAACATTGCCCCACTTTGTCCCACATTGTCCCACATTGCCCCACATTGTCCCACATTGCCCCACATTGCCCCACATTGTCCCACTTTGTCCCACTTTGTCCCACATTGCCCCACATCGTCCCACATCGCCCCACATTGTCCCACATTGCCCCACATTGTCCCACATTGCCCCACATTGTCCCACATTGCCCCACTTTGTCCCACATTGTCCCACATTGCCCCACATTGTCCCACATTGCCCCACATTGTCCCACATTGCCCCACTTTGTCCCACATTGCCCCACTTTGTCCCACATTGCCCCACTTTGTCCCACATTGTCCGACATTGTCCCACATTGCCCCACATTGTCCCACATTGCCCCACATTGTCCCACTTTGTCCCACATTGCCCCACATTGTCCCACATTGCCCCACTTTGTCCCACATTGTCCCACTTTGTCCCACATTGTCCCACATTGCCCCACTTTGTCCCACATTGCCCCACATTGTCCTACATGGTGCTCGCTGGCTCCGGGTCTCCCCGCTGCGTTTGGTCCTCAGGGTCTGATCTACTTCACCGGCCGGCTGAGGATGCTGGAGAAGCGGCAGGAGCAGATCAGGGAGCTGAGCAGCAAACACCAGCAGCTGAAGGAGGAGCTGGAGGAGGCCAAGAGCCGGCTGAGCCTCCCCCCCGCCAAGTGGACCGGAGAGTGTGAGTACACAAGCTTTACTGCAGCAAAGAGTCCTAAAACCCGCCATGAGTCAGCATTATGAGTCCTCAACCCTGCAAAGGTCTGAGTACTTCTACTCAACTACAACATCGGAGTCCTTCTCCTCTGCGTATTACTCTGAACTGATAGTGTGTGATGGTGTTTTGCAGTCGAGATGGACCAGGACCTGGACCGGGGGTCTCAGGAGTTCCTGGAGGCTCTGCTTCGGACCACAGAGGACCTGCAGGACTGTGTCAGCCTCTGCAAGTCCCGCGTCATGATGGAGACGTGTTTCGACACCGCCGCGCAGGACGAGCAGCAGGGGGTGGGAGAGGAGGCGGCACGGACTAGAAAGGTAGTGTAGTACCACCGTTTGGCCACTACGGAGATCTGCTGATTCAACGGGGGGGGGGGGGGGGTTTGTGCAGAGAGACGCATTATAAAACAGAACTCAGTGAACGATTCAACTAGAAAGAAGTATCCAGCTCTTATGATGCAAACATGGCGCCCGCTGAGGGGCGGAGGGAGAGTCTGAGAAGAGGGATGAGGAGATGATGAAGACAAACACTGACCTCCTTCAGATCCGCAGAACACATGGGCCTCTTTCGTCCACACGGAGGGAAAGGTGTGGGGATGAAAGCTCTCTGAATGTCTGGTGAGGCTCTCATGGAAGCGCCTTTATATTTATCATCTAGTTTAACGTGTATTTATCATTTGTTTGTTTTTGTTTGTTTATCATGTCTGGTTCTCGTGGTGCTGACATTACAAACAAACCTCCTGTGAATTCTTTATGCAAAACCACCAGGATTCAGATATTTGGTTCATGATGAAATGAGATGAAGCAGCAAGGAGCAACTACTCTGTATTCCTGCAGACGCTTTGCTTCTCTTCAGTCGCTCCACGTTAGGACCGGCTCGCAGGCCGAGCCAACGAGGACACGCACGCAGGGTTGAGCGAGACTCATGCTGGGCAAAGGGCCGGGGATCCAGGGGAGAGTCAGGGAGAGACTGTGGCTGTTTCTCAATGTCAAAGACGCTTCCTTGGTAGGACAAGTCTGCAGAGTGTGGGTCCTTCAGAAGCTAGGCAAGATTCCTACCTGGCATTCGGAGAACGAAGAATGGAACAGGCGAGCAGGTGTGCGTCATATGAGAGGCCCCGCCTTACATCTTACGCCACAGATTTGGGAAATTGGTCCGTGTGCAAAGCATTGTGGGGATTTTAAGACCGTGGAGGATACACATGTACATCCTCGAAATTTCTCGCAACGAAGGACACCGGGCTCAATAGATTTCCAAGGATCCTGGACATTGGAACAGTCCTTCGGCGGCACTCGATGACGTAGCATCCTTGAAATAGTGGCTCTGGAGCATCCTTCCTCGACATTGAGAAACAGCCTGTGACTCCTCAGCTCCAAAGACCACCCACACACACACACCCACACACACACACACACACACACACACACACACACACACACACACACACACTCTCAGAGTACATGTGAACATGTAAAGCCTAACCCAAACCCCTGTGATGTTATTGGTAATCACTCCTCGAGGTCACAGGAAGTCAGATCAATGATGTGAATAACCATCAGGACAACAGCTGTCTCCAAAGGAGATCTGTGGCGGCTCAAACATAAACTCATGTGAAACAGAAAATACCTTTAACTCAAACCTTTCTGTGAAACTTCAATATTTAAGAGACTTCGACAGAATATAAGTATTTATCTATGTATTTAAGAAGTGTGCTCACGGGTCCTAGTGGTCCTAGCAAATACCCTAATCGTTTCTAAACTTGTTTTAATACCTTAGACTTCACGAAAGACATTCAGGAAGTCAATCCTAAACTTGAAGACAGTCAGCACAGTCAGTTCTGTCTTTTCCTTTAATGTCTTGGTTTGGTAACCTGACTTTAAAGAGCAGAAACTGTCTCAGGCTCATTGGTTAGCCTCGGTTAGAAAGATATTTAGTTTTAATGTTGATCCTGGTCGACTGATCATATCGGGCTCTGAGACTGCTTCTTTTTTGTAGTAAGTCAGTTCTGACTTGAGAGGGAACGTTTGGTCAAACCCTTTGTGTTCTGTCTCATAGTGGCGTGTTGTCTCTTTTAATGAGCGCCACGGTCTCTGAACAAATGAGACACACTGGCTCTGAGCTCCCAGAGGGCCGGAGGAACATGAACTAGTCTACTCAGGGTTCAGAGCTCTGTCCTCACTGTCCACGTTTCTCTTCTTGGAGAGCGCCATGTGTCATTATGTGTCTCTCCCTGTCTGTCGCTAACACGCCTGTTCACTCTCCTCTCCCTGTATTGCAAATTATTCTCTTCACTTACTTTCCTCTCCGCTTCTCTCTGTCGCGCTCTCATCTCTTCTTCTGTGTTTCTCATCACGCTCTCATCTCTTCTTCTGTGTTTCTCATCGCGTTCTCTTTCGCCCCCTGTCGTCGGCGGTTAAAATAGAATCGCCCCGTCAAAATTGAAATCCGCTATTAATGTATTGATTATAGGTCCGGACCGGGTCCGTATAGGTCGGTGTCTGGGTCCGGATCCGGACCGCGGTCCGCCTGTTGCCGACCCCTGCTCTATAGCATATGTAAATAAAGGAGACACAATCTTAGACACAAAACCACAACAACAGCACAAATAAGAGAATCAGAATGAAGCTCAGAATGAGGGGGAAACTCCTAAAGTCATCTGAACTAGACTAACCCTAAAGTCATCTGAACTAGTCTAACCCTAAAATCATCTGAACTAGTCTAACCCCAAAGTCATCTGAACTAGTCTAACCCCAAAGTCATCTGAACTAGTCTAACCCTAAAGTCATCTGAACTAGTCTAACCCTAAAGTCTTCTGAACTAGTCTAACCCTAAAGTCATCTGAACTAGTCTAACCCTAAAGTCATCTGAACTAGTCTAACCCCAAAGTCATCTGAACTAGTCTAACCCTAAAGTCATCTGAACTAGTCTAACCCTAAAGTCATCTGAACTAGCCTAACACCAAAGTCATCTGAACTAGTCTAACCCTAAAGTCATCTGAACTAGTCTAACCCTAAAGTCTTCTGAACTAGTCTAACCCTAAAGTATTCTGAACTAGTCTAACCCTAAAGTCTTCTGAACTAGCCTAACCCCAAAGTCATCTGAACTAGTCTAACCCTAAAGTCTTCTGAACTAGTCTAACCCTAAAGTATTCTGAACTAGTCTAACCCTAAAGTCATCTGAACTAGACTAACCCTAAAGTCTTCTGAACTAGTCTAACCCTAAAGTCATATAAACTAGACTAACCCTAAAGTCTTCTGAACTAGTCTAACCCTAAAGTCTTCTGAACTTGTCTAACCCTAAAGTCATCTGAACTAGTCTAACCCTAAAGTCATCTGAACTAGTCTAACCCTAAAGTCATCTGAACTAGACTAACCCTAAAGTCATCTGAACTAGTCTAACCCTAAAGTCATCTGAACTAGTCTAACCCTAAAGTCATCTGAACTAGTCTAACCATAAAGTCATCTGAACTAGTCTAACCATAAAGTCCTCTGAACTAGTCTAACCCTAAAGTCATCTAAACTAGACTAACCCTAAAGTCATCTGAACTAGTCTAACCCTAAAGTCATCTGAACTAGTCTAACCCTAAAGTCATCTGAACTAGTATAACCATAAAGTCCTCTGAACTAGTCTAACCCTAAAGTCATCTAAACTAGACTAACCCTAAAGTCATCTGAACTAGTCTAACCATAAAGTCATCTGAACTAGTCTAACCATAAAGTCCTCTGAACTAGTCTAACCCTAAAGTCATCTAAACTAGACTAACCCTAAAGTAATCTGAACTAGTCTAACCCTAAAGTCATCTGAACTAGTCTAACCCTAAAGTCATCTGAACTAGTCTAACCCTAAAGTCATCTGAACTAGCCTAACCCTAAAGTCATCTGAACTAATCTAAACCTAAATTCTTCTGAACTAGTCTAACCCTAAAGTCATCTGAACTATTCTAACCCTAAAGTCATCTGAACTAGTCTAACCATAAAGTCATCTGAACTAGTCTAACCATAAAGTCATCTGAACTAGTCTAACCATAAAGTCCTCTGAACTAGTCTAACCCTAGTCTTCTGAACTAGTCTAACCCTAAAGTCATCTGAACTAGCCTAACCATAAAGTCCTCTCAACTAGTCTAACCCTAAAGTCATCTGAACTATTCTAACCCTAAAGTAATCTGAACTAGTCTAACCATAAAGTCATCTGAACTAGTCTAACCATAAAGTCCTCTGAACTAGTCTAACCCTAAAGTCATCTAAACTAGACTAACCCTAAAGTCATCTGAACTAGTCTAACCCTAATGTCATCTGAACTAGTCTAACCCTAAAGTCATCTGAACTAGTCTAACCATAAAGTCTGTTTAGAGTTTTGGTGGTCCTGATAATTTATTCCGGTAAATTACTCTGACCTCCTAATTGACCTTTCCGAAGTTATTGAGTCTATGTAAGTTTGCGGCTTGGCTCAGATCCACCAACGTCAGCAAGATCTCACCTCTACTAACTTCCCGAAGAACCAGGTTCAATTAACTGCTGTTTCAATTCAGACAACTCTCTTTTAATCTGTTTAAGCGATCCCGAAGGATTTTGATATCAGTAAATGGAGTGTGCTCCTACCTAAGTGTGTGTGGCAGGGTGCAATCTTACCTTTGACGCAGGAGAGGAGAGCACAGGTGTCTTTTAAATTATCCCAGTCCAAAAGGTGAGATCAGTTTATTTGAAGAAAAATAGGTCCAAACTAATACAGGGTTTTTACCTTCTCTCTTAC